ATCCTGTCAGCCAATCGAAACAACCAACCCAATCTGCTATCATCAATCAACTAACACAATCAGTCAACCGCTAACAATCAACAGCCAATTGCCAAACACCCCATAAAGTGATTAAAATTATTGTGAGTATATTGTTTACTACAATACTATGTATAAAAGTGTACATATAAATATATTATGACTACAAAATTTATTGAGTTTTTTTTCGAATTAATGTTAATTAATTAATTAATTACGAAAATAGGGTTGGGTTAAAAGTATTTACCAATATACTGCTGAGTTAACCGTGGTCGGGGGAAAGTCGCCCAACGGTTGGGCGACTTATAAGTCGCCAAACCGTTGGGCGACTTTCCATTAAGTAAAAACAACGACCAGCCACAAAACAGAACACTCCGAACGAAACCCAATCTCCAAATCCCTCAAGCAGCAGCTACGAAGGACGAAGGACGATCGAGCCATTTCCATCTCCGGCGAACTTCCATATCCGGCGACCCCACTCCGACAAACCTCCATCTTCATCTTCAACACTCTTTCTTCTTTCTTGTAGGTAAATCAAACTCCATTTCATATCATTTTAACTTAGGGTTTTGAATGTTAAAATTTTGGAATTTTTAGATTATGAAATGTTGAAATTTGATTTGAAATTGATTGTAAATTTTAAAGTGTATTTTGACATTTGGACATTTGGGTGGATTTGAATGTAGCTAAATTTGGGTATTGAAATGTAGACTTGAATGTAGATATCAAAATTTGGGTATTTTCATATTGAAATGTGAGTTGTTTGTGAATCTTGACTTTTGGATATATTTGAATTGTTATTAGAATATGGATTTCTCAAGCTTTCCAATCGTGTGTCATTGGGGAGGGAACTATTATGAGGATGATGGTCAAATATGTCATGAAGGTGGTACAACCACATTTGTCATAGTTTGTCGTGGTGCTTGCATGCTCGAGATCCTTCAAAAAATACATACAACCACAATGATTCATCCTAGCCGTTCTTTGCGTTTGACAATGAAATTTCCCATGACCTAAGTCGACACGTATTAAGAATGAGATGGATGAAGGTCCCCGAGGAACGATTAGATGTGGAAAATGCCACCAAACCGGCCATAATAGGGCCACATGTGTGAAGAGATCATCAAGACACAATGGAGGGTCCAGTGGGTAAGGTGTTAGTTATAGTAATTCATAGTTCATCTCAGCGTTGCATGAAAACATATTAATTAGTAAAATGGATGATTAAAAAAAAGAATTAGTATAATAGTAAAAATTAACTAATACGATTTTGTTTGTTTGTAGGCATGCAGGTGACAGCGGATCCTAGGTCGAGTGATCAAGATGACCATGACAACTTCTACTTTGTCTTTTGTATTGCAGTTTTTCTTGTACAACATTTTAGATAATTTACAACATTTTAGATGTTGTAGGAACAATTTACAACATTTTACGTATTTTCTCTTGTATGTTGTATTTATGTGTTCGAGTATGAATATTAGATGATTAATTGTTATGAATGTTTGATGATTGTACTGTATTTTACCGGTGAGTTGTATGTGTTTATGTATGTGTTTGTGAACATGTGTGTTGTATGTTTTATAATGTGTTGCATCTTGCTCATAACACTTAAACAGGAGAAGGGATACCTTATTTATAGCAAAAAGATGAGTTTGGTTTGAAATGGGGCAAAAAAACTGATGAAATTCTGTTTTTGGAATTAGGCACGATCGTGCCTACCCGTGCAGGCACGATCGTGCGTGGCTAGCAGTAGCTGTTGGTCTGCGTTCATATGGAAAGGGAAAGTCGGTCAACGGTTGGGCGACTTATAAGTCGCCCAACCGTTGGGTGACTTATAAGTCGCCCAACCGTTGGGTGACTTTCCCTAACCATGGTTAAACCCAGCAGTAGATCGGTAAATATTTTTTTACCAGCATTATTTTCGTAATTAATTAATTAATTATCATTAATTCGAAAAAAAACTCAAATTTATTACTACGGATACCAACAAAAAAAATACTCTTCTGGCCTCTTGAAATTCTTTCCACATCATACTCCTCTCCATTTTCTTCTCTCCATTTACTCTCTTCATTTCTTTTTCACAATATCTCTCTCCTTAAAAAAATAATTAAATCACATGTTTTCTTTCTCCCTACCCCACCATTTCCCCATCTCACTCTATCTCTATGGTAATGGACAATTCCAATTACCGGAGAGAAGCTAAATTCTTCGTTCCACGCCCAAAAAGGTTGAATCCCCAACCCCAAGGGCCCCCCACCCCGACCCGACAGGATGGTGGGGGAGTAAATCCCGGTGACTCAGTCGGCAAAGCGGCAGTAGGCCTTTACCCGTGCGCACCAGAGGGCCAGCCTTATTTCAGGTTCTGAAAACCCCCTTTTGGCCGCTGCGGGATTCGAACCTTGGTCTACGTCTAATTTTTCCCACCTCTCGACCAACTGAGCTACCCGTGCGGGTAAATTCTTCTTTCCACTTATCATTTTAGGGTGTCTAAAAAACATGTCCCTTTATTGAAAGTTTTATGTGGTTAACATTCATTTATATCTTTTTTTTACTCAATCGCAACCATACATATCTACTTTTTTTTTATTCTCTTGAATTTCGATCCAAGTCAAATCAGGGAAAATGTTATCGGACGGAGGGGCTAAGGGAGTATTTATCTTGCCCACGGTCTTTATTTTAACTATTTATAATAGGGTTAATTATCAAAATAGGACTAAAAGTGACTCACATTGCACAAATAGGATCAAAAACTAAACTATGTTTTCATAGGACTAATTATGTGTGTCTTGGACAAATATACCCTTCTAGCTATTGAAATGTTTTAATTCATAATAAAATAATAAAAAATAATAAAAATTCGTAAAAAATACTAAAAACTAATAAAAATATTTCGATAATAATAATTAATTTATTTATTTTTTTTCTAAAAATAAAAAAAAATAAAAAAATAAAAATCTCAAAAAAATGAAATAAAATTCACCGCCGCCTCTGCACCACCACCTCCAGTCACCAGGGGAAAAAATGCCAAGTTCATTACGAATGCCATTTTTATGGCAGAAAACAATGAAAATGTTGGCATTCGCAAAGAGAAACATGTCACTTTTTTGGCATTTTCAGAAAAAATGACAGTTTTTAGGGAAAATAACATTTTTTCACTGGCCGGAGGTGGTGGTGCAGGGAGGTAGTACAGGCGGTGGGAAAGGCATCCAATTTTTTTTAATGGAGTTTTACTATTTTTTATTAATTTTTTTTTAAAAAAATATTAATTTATTTTTTTGAATTTTTTATTTTATAAATATTTTGTAAATTTTTTAATTATTTTTCTACGAATTTTTGATTTTTTTTAGAATTTATTATGAATTAAAAATTTAATTATGACTTTTGACTATTTTTAACTCATAATTAATGAAAGGGTAAGAATGGAAGGTAAAAATAGGTATGTTTCCAAATAGGACTCATATGGTCCTATTTTGGAATAAAAACATAGCAAGTCTTATTTTGAGTTTTTGTCATTGTTTTAGTCCTATTTGAAGTAATTTCTATTTATAATATTATTTGTATAAAAGATGCTAATTTTGTCATGATAAAACTCATTTTGGATTAAGAGTCCCTTTGATTACTCATATCTTCGACCTATCAGCCTTACTCATTTCGCTATTTCCTTAAACGCACAATTTTTTATTTGGCTTATGGAATCGTCTAATTATCAAACCAAATACTCTGTAATGTTTTTCTGGTTGAATTCACTGAATTTATTCAAAATGATCAATTTTGCCATTTTTCGTATGTTTTTTCTCTAACTTATTTCCCCGTAGTAAAATATAAAGTATGTTTTAAATACAAATTTTTAATCATTTAGCAGATTTACTAATTATACTACTACATTTAAAATTTCATCAATTTTAAGATAATCAAACAATTTGCCCAATTTGGTTTTATGAAATAGAATCTAAATAGGGAGTATGTTATTTTACTTTGATGTACCATCCGCATGATATATGGGAGGTAAAATATACATTGTACTGTGCGCACGGTACAATTGGTCATTTCCTTCCTCTTGGGCTTCTGCGCGCTTTTTTCATACAATGGGAGGTAAAATATATCATACACTTGATTGGTCAAATTCATTTGAATTGATTATAGAAATGATTTAAAGATTTTTATAAACAAAAAAAAAGAGAGAAAAGAGTCAGATAGAGCATCGAACTTACAAAAAAAATCAAATAAGGCCTTATATAGGAGGTCCTGTCCGGATGACGCCATTTGGGGCGGTTCCGAGTGGAATTTTTAGATGAAGTTTTGTGAGTATCTTATTCATTAAGTCTAGTTTACTCATACCAAATTTCAGCTAAAACTTCAATCAGGAAGGCATTCAAATAAATTCTTGAAGATAACTGCACTTTTAAGTGTACACTTATCTTCAAGAATTTATTTGAATGCCTTCCCCATTGAAGTTTAGCTGAAAATTGGTATGAGTAAACTAGACTTAATGAATAAGATGCTTAAAAAAATTATTGAAAAATTCCACCGGAACTGCCCCAAATAACGTCGGGCGGACAAAACCTATTTATAAGGCTTTATTTGACATTTTTTTATAAGTTCTAGGCCTTATTTGACCTTTTCCCCAAAAAATAATAAAAACAAAGTGAATTAGAAGATATGAAGCACAAATCACGATTTTCATTATTAGGCTTCTAATAATCAAAAGAACATACTTGATGCTCATGAACGTTGCATCAATGCTCATTTAAAAGAAGCCGTGATTTTCATCAAAATTACAAAACTGTCATTTGTTGTACGTACAAGATGGGGTTGGACTGTTTTCAGTCCTAGACGAGATGAGACCAGACCAGATCAGATCAAACCAAAACCAGACCAGACTTCCATATTTATAAAATACACAAAGATCAGACGTTTATCAGACCAGACGAGACTAGATCAGATCAATTCATATTAAACCACACTTTGTAAGAAAGCATCCTATGCCCTCACATCCCCGCCATTGACTCTCGTTTTTATTCACTCTTCTTACGACTTTGCACATTTTCTCTTCACTTCTTCTTTCTCCCCATCCTCTGGGTCCCCATTTTCTCTATCTCTTACTTCCACGCCAACGCCATTTCTGAGAAACTGGGGATCACGAAGAAAAAGGGAGAATTTAGCAGCATATCGTTCCCTTTTTACGATTTTTCGGCTATCATATTCTAAATTCGATATTCTGCAGAAATCAGCTTGGTGGACGCGGCGAGAGGATCCGATTTTCCCGTATGAATGCTCAACCCTAGGTTCTTTGCCGCTGAAAATTCCTTTCGTTTCTTCAAGAAATTTGGTTCTTTCTCTGATTTCTGGGAAGACGTTTGGCAGATTTTCCAACCCTAGTTGGGGGAGGAGCTATTAGTTTTAGAGGAGGTGGTGCTGAATCGGAGTCTGACCCAGATGCGGGGAGGACTCTGGGAATCAAGCTCCGACCCGTACTCATTGTGAAGCTGTATATGGATTCACCATTCTCGACCTCAACCACGTTGACGTTGGGTTTTTTTCTTTGTTTGATCGCCGTGCAATCTCAGGAAGATGTAAATTCTGGATCACAATCCCAATCCCCACCTCCGGTTTCGCCCCCTCCTCCTCCGCCTCTCCAACCACCACCGCCACCTCCTATTCCACCGCCTCCCCCTCCGCCACTTCTCCAATTTCAGCCTCCACCACCACCACCTCCTGTATCTCCACCTCCTCCGTCTCCATTTTCACCTCCCCCACCCTCACCCTCACCGCCATCCTCTACATCTCCTCCTCCTCCACGAAAACTCTCTCCCCCATATCCCAAATCCGTTCAGGATCATCGAAATGTCTCTCACCATGAAAGGGAGAATCACAATGCAAGGCATCATACACCGCGTGGAAAGTTAAGCCATACGCCAAAAGAAAAGAAACTGAATTTGGGGAAGAAGATAGGGTTGGTGTTCGTGGGAATTGGCGTGCTTTTGCAGCTCTTTGTGGTAACATTCTTGGTAATCAAGAGGAAACAACTGTTAAAGGCCGAAATCAGAAGATAATGACTCGTGAAAGTTCAAAATCATTTTTTCATCAACAGATTTTCTCTGTTGACTCTGTTTATTCTTGGCGGAGTGTATTAATTAACTGGAGTTGTACTGATTGAAATTCTTTAAAGAGAGGATTGGATTTGAGAAAAAGGGTGCCCACGTCTACTGTTGTAGCTCTTGTAAATTGGTAATTCTTCATCAGCTTTCTGCTTTCCTCAGTTCAATTTTTTTAGTTTCCACTTGAATTATGGTTTTTCCCTATCCATTAGTGTTGCGCTGTGAATGTATTCTATTAACATCTACGATTTGAATGGTTTATAGTTTGGATTTCGGAAGGAATGTTGTGTTTTAAATTTCATTTTATTCACTCACCCATTCTAGTTTATTTACCTTTAATGTTGATTACTAAAAAAGCCAGCTTTCAACCTTTTACAAACTAATATAGCCTATACTTTCAGAGATTTACATTTCATACAATTGCACGTTATTCTAAATCGACTACTAAAACTCCAGACCTGATTCTATTGAGGAAGTTGTTGTTTGAAGGACAAGAAAGAATGTCCATTGGGAAAGTTAGGTCTTTCTTTTGTTATGCCTTTTCTTCTCCAGCATCTTTGCAGTTTCCCCAAAATCTTTTGAGAATAAGGCTTAGATGTTTTTGTTGTAGTTAGCTGCATACATAAACCTAGACCAAGAGGTGGGTAGACATTTCAGTTGAAAATTTAGAAACATATGTATCCATGTCCAATTACCTTAAGTAGGGGAGAGCAATGTAAAAAGTTAAAACACATACTCAGCGAAATAAAGAATCATATCATTGGTAGACTTGTGTAGCTAACTCCTTATTGCAGTTTCCATTTGAGTTTCACTTTGTCAGTTCATTTTTCTGTGTCTCCTACAGTGTATGGTTCTTTAGTTGGATATTATATATTATGACGTATTGTCGTATATATTATTTTCTGTGTCTCCTTATTGCATTTTTTTATATATATTATGACGTATTGTCGTCTTCATGGGAAAATTATGATACATCCTAATGTAAGTTCAAGTCCAGATATTTTTATATTTTTCTTCAACATTTACTCATTTGGTAGTTCGAGAGTGCTCATTCCATTGGAATCGCCCTTTTTAGTGCAGGACTCATTTTGTATTTGAAAAACACGTATTTTGTATTGAAGTACTCATTTCATTATTTCGATGTACTATGTGCATGACACATCTGGATTAATATAGATATTGGCCTGCATATGCTCTCTTTGAAAGGTCACAATTGATGTTCATTACTATCTTGGAAACTAGTTCTGTGAATCAGGGCCCTTTTTTAAGGGTAAATTGAAGGTACATGGTTGAATTTCTTCATTTTAAGGAGAGCTTTTGTTGGTATCCATTTCAACCAAATAAGCAAGTAAAAAAACTACTTAGGACCCTTTTGGTATGGGTGGTTGGGCTAAAATGGTTGACTAGGTTGAATGTTTTAGCAAGGAAGAGCGTAACATCTATTGCAGCCAAATAATAAAGTAGAAATTGCTTATACTGCTCATCCGGAGTATAAGTAGATTATGGCTACTACCAAATGGAACTGTATCATAGAATTGCCTACCAAAGGGGGTCTGAAATTCTGAATCTACTAATGTACTATGATGTCAGACCATTTTTGTCGAGACAAAGTCGATAAAGCCTTTGAAGTTTGAAGTAGGCTTTCTGATAATATCATAATCAGGACATGAAATTCAGTTCAGCAAGAACTTTTGTTCAGTTATTGCCCTTGGCATATTTGTAGATAAAATATCTGTCCAAATTACTGATCTGATATTCTGTCTAGGGGTTGTCTTAGAGGAGAAGAAAGACATTGCCTTCCTTTGCTCGGTGTATACACAATATGGATATTGGTTAAGCTTATTGGATCATATCAACAATATGGATATTGTTACATCAACACCTTTAAAATGGATGAAATGTGAATAAATCAAATCAAACACATCTATTCCCATTCGAGAGCTTATCCATAGGGATATTTCTAATTAAACCCACATGTTTGTGCATCCTTTGCGTTGAACTAAACGTCTAAACGCAGTGTGCCCTTATGTGGGGCATTTTTTTTGGGGAGGGGGGGTGATGTGCCACTAAAACATGCAACCCCTAGGACCCGTTTACTTCACGGGTTACTAAACGGTGCTTATTAAGACCCGCGTTAATAAGCAGCACATAAAATAAGTGGTGTTGTAAGCTCATGTTTACTTCAAAGGATTTAAAACACCGTTTAACATTAAAATATCCAAAATAGTTTTATACATATATAGATATAGAAATATACATGAACACAAGTATATAATATAATACGTGGGCGTCACCTCGTACGCGTACCCCTACCCCACCATACCTAACCCCTGACCCCTAACCCTACCCTGATCCTATCCCTTTACCCCTTACCTCGACTCTACACCAACCCCCGTACTCCTAACCCTTTTTTACCCCCTACTCCCTAGGTAGGGGTAGGGTGTAGGGTAGAGGTAGGGGTAGGGATGAGGGGTGGGTTAAGGGTCGGGTGGGACAGGTGCTAGGGGCAGGGTTGGGTAAGGGGGTAGGGGTGGTAACGGCTAGGGGGTAGGGTACGAACTGGGGTTAGGGAAGGTGATAGGGGTAGGGCCGAGGTATGGTAAGGGGTATGATCGGGTCAGGGTGGGGTCGAGGTAGGGGCAGGTGGGTGGGGGTAAGGGTCGGGGTAGGGTAAGGAATGGCTAGAAGGGGTAGTGGGGTGGGTCGAGGTAGGGGATAATGGGGTAGGGTCAAGGTAGGTAATGTATGGTCAGTAGGGGGTAAGCGCAAAGAGTAAGGGTAAGAATAAATTCGGAAACTGAAAAAGCTTAAAGTGTCGTTTAATTAATACATTGGGATGGTATGCTTAGTAAACGACACTTTAAGCACCTCTTTCAATTACTGGGATTTTTGAAGCAGCAAAATAAAGTTTTCCCTGGTGTTGGGGTGTTGGGAGCTCGGGAAAGCTTTGACAACAGTTTTGAGTTTTGACAAAATCACATATTGATGAATAGTAACTTCTAAAAAGACGAATAGTGATTGCGCATGACTAATTCTCATTTTTAGTAGGCCAAGGCTATATCTTGTTTTATTGTTTTATTTCTTATTCCACAACTACCTTTATAAAAAACTTCCATTTCTGAAAAGATTCTCTGTTTAAGTTGACATATTTATTCAGTGCAATAAAATTGCATGGTTGCAATTAATGCAGCAAAGAGAAAATAAATGATTCAAAATCAGAATTTTTTTCATTAAAGGTTGAAAACCTAAGTTTGAGGCACAAAAAACGAAAAGGAGAGAATTTCTATGAAACATCGAGGCTGTTATGTTTTCATCTTCACCATTTATCAAAAAATGTCTAAAAAGTGGTTTGAGACTCATATGAGCCGTGTTATTCCTTAGTATTAGGGTTCTTCTTATTCATTTGATAGTCATTTTATGGATGGTTTCTATTCAAATTATCGACCCAAGTTGCTCCAAGATGATATAATGTTGTTTAATTACTATTGACGACATTCTCCAATAGTCTTGTAATCGTTATAAGAATGTTTTTACTTGAACTGTTTTCCGTCCAAGACCAGATCAGACTTAGATAGTTATAAAATACACGGAGATCAGACATTTGCTATATCAGACCGGACTAGATCTTTTTAGATCAGATCAAACCAGACAAGATCAGAGCAACAAATTTCAGTTCATGTAAAAGCATACTCCGTACATCTTATGTCTTTAATAGAACTTGACATACTTTACCTCCTTATCTTCTTGCGATTGCTTTTGCTCTTACATTTACTTAATTTGCTCATTAAAAGACATATAACCCCAAAAAGATGATACGAAAACTGAAGGGAATGTGTTGGATCTTCAATCGCTCTTTAACTTCAACGGTTGATAATATTTATTTGATTGTTTATAGTCTTTTGATACATTACGATTCATGAGGCAAGCAAAATGCATCGTTTTGAGACTCATCATTGGGTATTTCCTCCAAATTCTCCTAATTCTTTCTTTTATTGCTATTGAATTATTAGTTAATACTTAGAGTATTTAATATTTCAACTAATATGCTCTGAAAACAAGTCTTGGTGCATGGGCCAATAACTTTAACACCTTTCGTTTTGCTTTTGGCTGTCTGAACCGACTTTTGACATTTATCGTATGGACTCCCATTACATTCCTTTCCCAGCTCACCATTACTCACACCGCTACTTTTACACGAAGTATACAATTATGTATACATTACATTTATCACATTTTGATTCGGTTTAAATAAGATTGGAAGAATAATTAGCACAAAAAAGTTAGCTATGATTCAGTTCGATTTGAAAGTTATTTTAATTAAATTCTGTAGACATTGTGACTAACTTTAGTAATGTTTTCTCTCCAAATTGATTTGCAAACTCAAAATTTTTGAACTAATCAATGCGAAAGTTAAAATGTTAAATACCCCTATTGGCAATCAATTCAAAGTTAATAATTAAAATTTTCATATTCAGATAACTACTTTAAAATATCTATAAAGTTACATACCAAATTGAAATTACAGTATAATTAAAAATTAATATACTATTGAAGTGAATAAAGTGAAACTATTTAACAAGAAAGAGAGAAATCTCATTGGTTTGATTTCATGTGGCTAATTATCATGTACAAGGTAGGCATCATGCACTTTGTTGTATCATGTTTTTATGATTGGAATTTTATGATTTGGACTAGTCTTCTCTTATTTGGTCCGAAAAGTGTTTCTCATGATATATTTTATAATTGTCGAAGTCTGATCTAATTTAAATTGGTCCGATCAACTCTGGTCTATGCCTGAAAAAAGTCTAAAGAAAAACATTCTAAAATTCATAGAAATATATTGGACATTTACTAGATAAACATCATATTTTATTCATATCACGCGCATGAATTATATCTATATATACGTTACAATTTTGCTAACCTTATTATAATTATCGATCATCATCTTAGTGATAGAAACAGGGTTTATTACAATTATTAATTAAGTTCTTCAATTCATTATGGCAACGTACGAATATTTCTCATATTCACCGCAAGGCTGCTATTACTCTTCCCAGAGAGGGGTGGCGATGGTGTTGGCCATGGGTTGTGCGCTGTTGCTTTCTCCATTGTACGTTGACCGCCCAAGATCGGAGAGCAGCCGCCGTTATTACGAGACGAGGTGGAGCTCCGGCGGGCTGGTGCTACCTGCGGTGCTTGCGGGGCTGATTGTCGCCATCAAGACGGCGTCTACCGCCCATGGAGGAAGAGGAGGTACGAGTCCTCGGTTTCCGGTTTACACGTCATCGGCTGACGTGGACGGTGATTGTTCTTCTTCTTCTTCTTCCCCTGCGTTTGGAATCGGAAGATCAACGTGGGGACTTGCTGGGATCTTGGTCTCTCTCTTATTTGCGCTTTCTTTCCAGTCTTCTCTCCGCCAATTCTTTTGGTCATAGTCTCATAGACATAAATTGTTCTAGTAATTTGTAATCTGACAAAGCAAAAGGCCGGACAAGGAAATAAGTTGAATATTCTGGCTTGCTTATTCTACACTCAAGATTTGATCACAGAGCTCTCTTAAGTTTAGAACAAGTTTAGATCACAAAAGGATATATACTAAACATCAACTACTAAGCTCTAAATTAAAGATATGAAAACGAGTGGTAGATTAATACTTTCTTCCTTGCTTGATGTTGATGTGTTCATATATATATGCTTCATGCTTGTAAAACTCTTTTAGCTCCACACACTTAGCTTCCCGCACTTCCTCTATATATTGATGTGTCCACTGGGTGACTCTGCAGGGGCATGACATCTTTTGTCATCATCTGTCACGGTTGTGACCATTTTGTTCGCACTTGAGGTCTGAATTATTTGAATAATCAAATAAGCATGTCTAGGGATGGACTGAGACGGGTCGGCCCGACCCAGCCCGGTGAACCGGGACCGGGATTGAGGCCTGAACCGGGGGTTAAACAGGCGGGCTACGGGCTTCAAAAATGGTGGATCGGCCTGGTCCGAGCCCAATTTTTTTTTTAATTATTTGGCATTGGCCTGGTTGCTAGATGGGTGTGGCTGGGCGGTTTGAAGGTTCGGGGTGGGGGTGGGGGATTGGAATTAATTCAAAAAGACCCAAAAAAATTATTTGGAGCCCGACCCGGCCTGGCCCGATCCAGTCATGGTACTAACCCGGGCCGGTTCCGGGCCTGAATATTTGTAGTGGTAATTACCCGTTTGAGCCCATTTTTTAATGTGACATTTCGTTTATAGCTCCACCCACATTTGTTTTCATATTTAAACTTTTTCCATTTCAAGCTAAACTTCTTTATTTCAAAAATAGTGCATCTCTGAAAACTAAAACCTAACAACCCCCTAAATCCATCGAAGTTGTCTGGGACTCTAGAAATCGATGTTGGGCGCCGGTAATTCAAGCTTCACACTGGCCGATTTCAACCCAAAGATGGAGGAGTATCCATCTCCGAACAACTTGTGTCACATCATCTTCTTCGCAAACGCTTAATAGATCCGTTCTCATCAAAATCTCAAACTGAAAGCCTATCTTCTTCTCAGAGATACATAGGTAAATTTGTCCAAGTCTCAGTTCCTTAGATCAAATCATGTTCACTACCTATGCCTCTGACGGAAATAACTTCCTATGTACGACAATAGGATGATGGCCGTTCCCGAGCTTAGAAAAGCAATCTACTACTCTTCCTCACTCCTTGCACTTCTCGTAAAAAGTAGCATCACATAGAAAGCAGCATCGTAGAGCATCCATTAGAGCTTTCCGAGATGAAAACCAACGGCAAACGAGTGGCAACCACACTTGATATAAACTATTTTTTCCACTCCAGGTACAGAGAGGTATCTGAATTGATATAGATTGTTTTTTTCTCACTCCAAGTACCGAGAGACATCACTACTCATATATTAAATTGTTTTTCACATGTTAAATTCTACAGTCTTCACCAAATTTTAGTATGTTGTTCATGCAAATAGACATTCTCGTATCCTATGGTCAAATTCCTGTTTTGATTTTCTGATCTTTAGAAATGTGTTACTACCATGTTTAGTATGAAAAGTGTTCCTCACCATTTTCTTTGAAGTTTTCATGAATTTTCATCATCTAGGTGCCTCTTAATTCATGGATACGACTCTATTGATGATTATATTGATGAATTGATTACACCGTCTTTTTTTCGTTCTTGATGATCTTTATGAATAGATCTCAAGACTTGCAGAATCATTTCACATGTTTATATGTATGTTACTGCATAAAGCACCCAACGGGCAATCTGCCAATCACATTGAGGCTCAAAGAAAACAGAATGGATGATAAGGAAGATAGGATTGATAGACTAAAATCCAAGAGAATCGTTGGAATATAGATAGTGCGGATGATTAGCTTATTAAATTAAAATTTATTACATTCCAAAGTTAGGCATGTATTAGATGTATAGAATAAGAGTAACTCGTAGCTTAGAATTCATATTTAATCCCTCCTATTGTAATAAGGATGGTATGCAAGAAAAGCAATACTCTCATCAATTATTATCCTTCTACTATCTTCCCTTCATATCTAATTTTTGGTTTCTATGTGAAGCGAGGAGCTCCTTGAAAGGCAGTAACATAACAACTGGTGCTTTCTTTGAGATGGATGAGTCAATCGCTCACATTTTAAAAAATAGAGGCAAGTAAATCATACACATCATATTTGTGTTATAAGATACAGAAAACTATGTACTATGTGACCTGGTGTTCTTTATTCCAATACTGCTTTATGAACGATATATGAGCAAATGATTTTACAATTTGTTTTTGAATTCAGATTGCTAATGGATTTAATTTGAAAGACATCATCTCGGGTGTTCTTTTGATTATCTTTGAGTGGTGTCCGGTTGCACTTGTTTAGGTATAAAGAGATATTTTTTGTGTCATGATTCCCCGTTCTTCTTATTTTAATAATGTAAAATTGTGGTGTTCTTTGATCAAGTCTTCATTGATCTAAAACTATGGTGTTCATATAAAATAAGTCTTTTTTACTTTTTGATTGTTTTATATGGTCCCTTGTAATAATCTATTATGGAATTGTCATAGTGATTGTATTCTCATTGCAGGTGTATAAATGAAAAAGAAATACACGAAGATGATGATGATGATGATGATGATGATAAGATTGAAAGTTTTATCAAGGAAAACGAAGACAAGACTTAAATTTGATGAACTGTGTATTGATCGAGATACATATAAAGAGAAAAGAATGATAAGAAAAAGCCAAATAATAAAATAGTCTAATAGATATGTAATAAATTCAAATAATATCTTGAACTATGTATTTATTGTGATACTCATATACATTATGTTTTGTTTCCTTTTGTTGTGTCATGCATGTTGCTTTTTGTTGCATCATGTTGTTTTTTGTTGCATCGTGTTGTTTTTTGTCACTGGTTTTTATTGTCTATTTAAGTTTATTATTATCTATGTTACTTCTTTGGAATAAATATAAAACTATATATACAATCACCTAAAATGATAAATTTGGATTTATAATTATCAGCAACAAGAAGCTAGAAACATTAAGAAACAGTAAAAAGAAAAAAAAATCAGCAACAAAATGAAACACAAAGAAACAATGTTACAAAAAATAAAAAAAAAATAAAAAAGATGTTACCAAAAATAATATTAATAACAATAATAAATTTTTTACTATTTTAAAAATATTACAAAACTAAACTTTTATTTTTTTCTAACTTTTGCGTTTTAAAATTACAAAATTCATACCTTCATTTTTTTATTTCTTTTCATTTTTGTATGTTAGATTTTTTAATTTTTCACATTCTTGTTTTTCGACATTTTACTAATTTACACTCTTTACAGTTTAAATAAATTTTCTTTTTTAAATCAAATTTTATGATTGAATATTTTCAAATTTCACTTTATTTTATAAAATTTAGTTTGTATTTTTTTGAATATTTACATATTTTACATAGTTATGTGAATTTCATAGAATTATTTACTTGCCATATATTCAAATTTTTAAATATATATTCAATTGTAATTTTTCCTATCGTGTCTCATTTTATTTTCAATTTTGAACAAGTTCTCTACCATTTTTTCATTATTTTAATGTTTTTGCATGTTTTAACTTTTAGTTTTTTTATCATTATTCTAACAGTTTTTAGACTTTTGAACGTATTCTATATTTATTTTCATCTTTTATATTTTACTCTGTATTTTTAAAGATTTTATTTAAATTTTTCTTAGACGATATTTCAATTAGTTTTCTAGTTTGAGATTTTTAATGTAAATATTGTATAGTTTTTTTATTCTTTATAGTTTTTACTTTTTAGAACATCATTGCATAATGGAAAAAATCTATATTTGTTTTCACTGTTTATATATTTGAAATTTTTATTTGAAAATTTACGCATGTAATTTCTAGTTTTCATTATAATTTTCAGATTTTTTTATTTCCTATAAATTTTTATATTTTTATTACCTTTTAAATTTTTTAATTATATTTGTTAAAAAAATAACAAACTTTTACTTTTATGATGTATCATTTTTGAATTGCAAAAAAAAATGATGTATCATTTTTGCAATTTAAAATTTAGTTTGTCGATGGATAAGTTTGCATTAAGATTGCTTTATAAAAGCATCAATACATCACTTTTAGCCTCTTGGAATAGAGCCGTACATAAAATTGCACCATACGACTTTAGCTTGCATTAGGCGTTTCAATTGCATGAGTCTATTAGTGAAAGAAGAAACTCACGGAACCTATTTTTGAAAAGGACATTCATAAATGAAAATAATTCGCTATTTTGTACCCTAAGCCCATCCAAATCCACCCTTAAGCATGCCTAAGATCTTGAGAAATATCTTCACCTTAGATGTAGGATCTTTCAGAAAACAATTGGAGACAAAATCTACTACCGTTATTTAATGCGCTACGTAAATGAGTCTCATTGCCTTTTCTATTACAATAATTATACTGTAGTATTTATCTATGCACTATTTCTAAAAACAAAATAAAAGGTTCGGAAATAATTGGTAAAGCAATTTACACGTTCATGATGTAAATAAAGTTTTCACTTAGTGAGTTATGTTTTTTTACAGTTTTACCGCCTTCACTGTGTTGCTATTTTGACTTAAATAGTGAAATGAAAGTTGTATATAACCTTTAAACGGTCATATTTGTTGTTCCAAAAGGTGTAATCTCCCACCCCAGGAGCTCTCACACCCTGACCCGACAGAACGGTGGAGGGGTAAGTCACGATGACTGGTCAGTCCAATGATGGTAGACCTTATACCATGCGCACCAGAGGTTCAGTCCATCACGCAAGAGTTGTAACCTCCACACAGCCGCTACGGATTTCGAACATTGGTCATTTTTTCAAATTTCCAACCACTGAACCAAGTGAGCTATTAGATGGTCATATTTACTTTCTATCAATAGGCTGAAATTCCAACATGAGGTGAGATAAACAACCTATTGATGGAGACAGCTGCTACTAGAAAGAGTTTCAACTCTTTTGTGTGTACCTTTTCTTTTGTTTTTCTTTTCATATTTTGATACGATTTTTCCATCATTTGCAATAGAGCCAAAGATTCATTATTTTTTGGCTTGAGATTATGATTGAATAAAGCAAAATGGCTTACTAAATTGTCTGTGCTTCTTTGTTATGAAGCAGCCGTCAGTCCAGTGGCGGATCATTATGAGGGCAGGGGTGGGCTCAAGCCCATCCCAATTTTTTATTT